GGGAGGGGGGGGGGGGGGGGGAGGACCAAAAAAAAAAATAGAAAAAATGAGACTTGCATGAACTGTGAAGTTAAAAAAAAAAAAAAAAAAAACATGTATATATTAGTATTTTATAAGCTCCATCCCTTACCAGCTTCGAAATTTGAGCTCTAAAGACCCAGAAACCCAAACAGAGAGAGAGAGAGAGAGAGAGAACAAACTACTGTGAAAGAGAGATTACTTTTTTTTTTTTTTTTGGGGTAGCTAGCAACTTTTAATTAGTAGCGATATTATATTTTTTCTAGAGGGTTCTTTCTTGGTACTATTCTTTGGTATTTTGGATAAAGATATGAGTAATTGGTTAGGTTTTTCTCTCACTCCACACCTGAGAATCCATGAAGGTTACGCTACTGCAGGAGACGACCAAGACCATGGAGCTTCTGGTTTCCCTTCTCCCATGTCTGCAGTCATGCCCTTACGCTCTGATGGCTCTCTTTGTGTTCCCACTGACCCTTTCAGACGCCATGAAGGTTTTTCCATTTTTATATATACATACATATATTTACACACTCGCAGACACACACACATATCTATATATATATATATATATATAAGTTCTAGAATACCTTGCATGTTGTAAAAGAAGTATAAAATATAGCACTGTTTTGCTTCTTTATTGTGCATGTTTTTTTTTTTTTTTTTGAACTTGGAAACAAGAACTATATAATATGGAATTTCCATTTTGTGGGTTTTATTTTAATGAAGATTGGAGGTACGAGAACAGCAATATGGGGATGAATATTGGAACGACAACAAATGTTTCGAATCCTAGTGAAGAGGGTCCGAAGCTTGAAGATTTCTTGGGATGTTGTTACTCAAACTCTCCTTCTGATCCTGATCATCATCATCATCATGATGAAGCCAAAGTCTATTGCAACCAAGAAAACCCAGAAATCAGTAACACCGATATCTCCAAAATCAACGTCAATCTGGCACCTAGTTTTAACCCTAATGGAGAAATGGAAACCCGGGAAAATACGAACAATAATAATAACAACCCCACAAACCTATCTTCTGTAATCCAATCTTATGGCCATTACAGTACTGAAAACTCCCACGTTGGGCTTATTCCAACTAGTAACGGCGTGTACAAGTCTTGGCTCGGCCAAACACTGCCTTACCATCACGGCGATGATGATCAGAAATCTGCGGCTGATCAATCGACCGGTTGTAGCTTTCAGTCACTGTCGCTTACCATGAGCCCGACCTCACAGGATGGTAGTCGTCATCATCACCATGTTGGTGCAATTTCGACATTGCAAGTGTCGGATAGTCGGAAAAGGTCTGTCAATGGGAAGTCTTCGGCTAAAGAGCCTGTGCCTCGTAAATCCATCGATACTTTTGGGCAGAGAACTTCTCAGTATCGCGGTGTTACGAGGTAATCATGACATGACTTATAAAAACTTTTTTTTTTTTTTTTTTCTGTTAAGGATGAGAATATTAAGTTCTAAGATTTTTGTTAAATAATAACACATTTTTTGTTTAGGCATAGATGGACTGGGAGATATGAGGCTCATTTGTGGGATAACAGCTGCAGAAAAGAAGGGCAAACAAGAAAAGGAAGACAAGGTGAGTGATTTTTCTTTTTTTTTTTTTTTAATTTTGAGCCATTTTATTTATTAGAAGAGAAAACTTGTGTTTGTTCAAGATCCAACTAGGAGTAGATATTGTTTTGCTGGTTTGTATTAACTGTTCCTTGCTTTTTAGTTTGTTGAGGAATATGCTAACTGTTTGTTACTTTATTTCATGCATAATCTCTTTGGGAACGTCCTGTTTCAATTCTTCGAACTTGCAGTTTACCTTGGTAGGTGAAAAGCTCCCCATGTTGTCCATATCTATTTGGATGTTACTTAATTTCTTGGACCTACTTTTTCCTACATTACTATAACTCCATACAATTTATTGAAGAAGTTATATGAAACATCGAAAAGTGTGCAATGTTTCTTAATTCTAGTATGCCCTTTTGTTAATTATCTCAATCAGGAGGTTATGATAAGGAGGAAAAGGCAGCAAAGGCTTATGACTTGGCTGCTCTCAAGTATTGGGGTCCAACAACTCACATAAATTTTCCTGTGAGTTTTTTTCTCTTTATTATTTTTTTTTACTTAAGAAGTCTCTGCTTTTTTTTTTTTTTTGTTGACTTTAATTAATTATATGCTCAGTTAAGCACTTACGAAAAGGAACTGGAAGAAATGAAGAACATGACAAGACAAGAATTTGTAGCCAACTTGAGAAGGTATATACCCCGTCTCTTTTGCTTTATATATACTTGTCCAAAATTGTACCCTTTTTCCACAAAATCTTTTTTTTTAATTTTTTTCTTTTATTGCCCTTTCCTTTGACAAGTTGGGCCTTTTTTAAAAAACAACATTGGTGTAATGATCCAAACACAGGAAAAGCAGTGGCTTTTCAAGAGGAGCTTCTATGTACAGAGGTGTGACAAGGTATGGCAGCAGAAAGCAAACTTTAATAATAATGGAGCAACCATTATTTACTGCGTCTGCAGCTTTTCCTTTTTTTTTTTTCAAAATTATATCGTAGGCAATAATAGGGAGAAACAAAATGGTAAATGTGGCAGTGTCTTGACCATGCTTAATTAGTAAAATTAGGTCACCCATATTCAGGACGTACACGTGTTAAGCTGGTTTAATTTATTTTGTCTTTGCAGGCACCATCAGCATGGAAGGTGGCAAGCAAGAATTGGAAGAGTTGCTGGAAACAAGGATTTGTACCTTGGAACGTTTAGTAAGTCTTCAAAATTTTCAACCAAAAAGTCTTTTCATAAATACTAGTTCTAAAAGATAGTCTCTTCTCTGTTTGGTTCTTGTCCTAGTCAAATATTCAATCAGTATAAATGATATTTATTCTGTATAAACACCATGCGACAAATGTAAATGAACTTTTAAAACACAATAAAACCCCAAATATATAACTCTATGTTATCAAAGTATGGAATGTAGTCCCTTTTTCTTTTCCTTTGAATAAAGATTAGGAGATTTCTGGGGTAGGTCTTGAAAAATTGAATTATTGGTAGTTATTTGTTTTTAATCGTGTAATCTTGATGAAAGATTGACTCTTCTGCATGTTTTTGGGTTTGATGTGATTCTGATCAAATGTAATAGTTAGAAATTAAAACAGATTATGAACCAAATAGGTTTAGGTGTGAAAACCTTATATATAATCCTAGTATTGTTCGCGCACTAATAGATAGTATAAATAGGCCGGTTACTTTCGTTAATTGTGGTGATTAATACCAGTTGTTTTTTTTTTTTTTTTTTTTTTTTTTGACAAGAATATTTGATCAACGTCTGTTGGCATATCGGTTCCCTAGCTACTAGTTTTTCTTGAATTTAAATAACATATTCTCGCCCAGCTAGATCGTGTGGATCCAACGAGCCAATATAATTTTTTTTTTTAATTCAGTAATAGTAACTGAAACCTTGAAACCATACAACTTTCAATCTTCTCCTGCTCTTTTACTCTTTGACTCGCCACATCAAGTCATATATAGGACAAACTTTGTTGATGTTGTTCTCCAGTTATTGGCTAGAAGACCGGAGGTTGACTTTTAAACGGATAATTTTTTGTTTGACTAGCTATTCAACATCCTCGTTTATTAATCTAAACAACATTAATTATCATATATCATGAACTTAATGATTTGTTAATTTCAATCAAATGAAAGGCACACAAGAGGAAGCAGCCGAGGCCTACGACATTGCAGCCATAAAATTCAGAGGCACGAGCGCAGTGACCAACTTCGACATAAGCAGATACGACGTGAAGAGAATTTGCTCGAGCTCAACCCTCATCGCCGGCGATCTAGCAAAACGTTCTCCGAAGGACTCCGCACCGACGACGGCATCAACTGCGGCACTCGAGGACTTCAACTCTTGCGCCGCGTCTTCCTCAACGCCGCAGAAGCCTCTATTGGCCATAACAAACGGCGAGCGTTCTGACGAGCTTGCCGACATGGTGTGGACGGCCAATGCAGACCACGACATGAACAATCCTCCGCACGAGATTAATTCAGATACCAATAACCGGAACTCATCGAACGGCGGTGATCAATTTGGTGGTGGTGGTGGTGGTGATTTTTCTCAGGCTTATTTCATGCAGGGAAATGCTAAGTTCGATCAAGATAGCAATGGAGGGAATAATCATGAGCATGGTCGTATTGGGAACCTTGGTTTGGTTCAACAACAACATGTTCCGATGTTTGCGCTGTGGAATGAATGAAAGAAACAAGAATCCACAGTGGGATTTGGATTTGGGAAACAAAAAGTACTTAGTATAGAAAGTGGTTAATTTGTTAGTGCTATAAGAAGAAGCCTAGTTAAAGTTAGTTTAGCTAAGATAGGAGTGAAAAAGAAAAAGAAAAGATACACGAATCAATGTTGGAGTTTTCTTAGGTGCTTCTAAGCTTTTTTTTCCCCTACTGTTTTCGACGCTTTCTAATGAAGAAAAAGGTAGGATTTAAGATGGATTAGTAGAGCTTTTTCATTTGCTTTCTACTTGCTATAATTGTTGCAATTTGCATACGACTTTAGAAGCTCAAATTTAATGCAAGTTTGCAAACGTATTGAATATGTTACCGGTTTGTATTGCTACGTGTAAAAACTCCTCGATAGATCGTCCTTGGAGTAAGAAAATTCTTTCTTAACGATCACTACAAGAAAAATGGGTTTTTGCGCCGACTTTTGTCGTCGCAAAAAACCGAATGTCGTCGCAAATAACATTTTTTGCGACGACAAGTTGTCACAAATTGTCGTCGCAAATAATTCGTCATAAATAAAATTATTTGTGACGACACTGCGTCGTCGTAAATGTATTTGCGACGACAATCGTCGCAAATTTCTCGTGATATGATCCATTTTTTGCGACGACATTTCAAATTATCGTCGCAAATAAGTTTATTTTTTTGCGACAACAAGTCTAAAAAAGTCGTAAAAACACCGAAATTAAATTTTTTTTATAATTTTTAAAAATAGCCCCCC